TATATTATAAAGCAATTAATTTCCGATGATCGAATTTCAGTGCTTTAATTCCGTAAGTATTACGTAATATAAGTAGTGACTTCGGAACATACACATGAACAAATGACGAAATATGTGGCCACAGACCCCTTTTCGGCTCGTGTAGACCCTGCTTCTAAGAAAACATTAACGAAAGAATCTAGTCATGTTACTTTGTTACAAAGCTCTGAGCGAATATTCTGTTGTTCGCCAAGCTTGTTGTTTAGAAAATTTCGTAGCAAAATTCGGCAAGCTAAAAAAAATATTTTTCATTCGAATCTTCTCAACAGTGAACAGGTTCATTTGCCAGTGCTTATGATCAGAACTTCATAGGAGCCAAAGCTTGGTTCTAATAAAAAAATTTTAAACAAATAATTTTATCATGAATGGACGACCCTATATTAGAAAACCTATCATTGGAAATGCCAAAACGCTAATATATTCATTACATACCAACTTTATTACCCTCTATTCCACTAACAACAAGATTGAGGTCACTGCTAGCCATTTGTCTTCGTGTGGGATGAACGATAGGCTCTCCATCTATTAAGGCCACCCGAGCAGCTCCTACAGGACCTACAAACGGAATGTCAGAAAGGCAAAGCGCGGCCGACGCTGCATTGATTGCCAGGACATCAGGATCATTAAGTCCATCCACTGCAAGTAGGTTACATACCAACTGCGTTTCATAGAAATATCCTCGAGGGAACAATGGTCGAAGGCTTCTATCTGCAAAATGAGCAGAAATAAACTACATTGAAGATCAGCAATTTTATTATCAGGCTGTTGAAAAGCTTCAGAGGCACAAAGGTATTAACATGACCTTTCGCAGAATTGTCATTGTGTTCATGATAATAAACCTTAAAGATAACATCACACCGGTAGTTTGGTTACATGTGTTGCGATCTTCAGCATAAGAAAAATAACGTACGTCGTGTATATTGAAAAAAATGTGCGACTATGTGGGTTAAATGGAAATTTTTTAAGAGTTGTTCTAAGATACTGACTAAATTAAAAAATTCGACATTTTGCGTACCCTAAAAGTGTTATTCTGGGCAATCTTGCTATATAATACGATCACCATTCACTATGTCTGCATCTTTAGCTCCGGATTTAAACCATTCACCAGTAATTTTTAAAATAGCTTTTTAATAAAGCTGTAATTGTGCATAAAACGGGTATTGACGGGTATAAACTCATTAGAATGTCGCTTAAACCCGCTGCACACAAAAAATATTAGCGGAATTAGAGTTCTGACTGACAGTAGGCCAAAAGTCCCTAAAGAATTACTCAGTGAAGTTTATCGGGACGATCCAATTGGCAATCGATATTCCATTCGCTACTTAAGCTTGCCAGAACGACCGTTAGTTTTATATATAAATGAAAGTGTATCAATGTTTGTTCTAGGTGATTTTGATTAATTTCTAAGGTCTTTAAAACCTAAATTTTATAGAGAATCTTCTGGAATTTTTTGTAAAAAACTTCGTCTCTGAGAATTTTTTTCGGATTTTTGAGATGACGCAATAACGTAGACCATCGATTTCGGGTGAAAAGTAACTTTTTAAATCGCTAAGCTTTTCATTTTCTTAAAGTGTACGTTTTATTTTTTCGTTCAGCGCAAAAAGGTTGAATTTTAAATGATTTTCATTCCAAACGTGAGAGCGACGCATTTTTTTCATTATGGTGAGTTAATTGTTTTGTTCTAGAAACAATTAGCTTTTAGCACCAAGTTGTGGATAAGCTTATTTATAAGAACAGCCTGCTAAAGCTTGACTCACTTTAGATGCTAAATTCTACATATATACGAAACAAACCAGAAAAATATATTTTTGAAGGCGTTAACCTTTGGTTATTATTAACCAAAACCTATATCTTCTGACGTACACGTGCTGTCTTTTATTTAATTTTAAAATAACCCTTACCTGCTAAGTATGCATGACTGAAAGTAAATTGAATAGATTATTTTTGAAACTTTACTTAAGTTATATTTGAAAGTTTAGTTACGTAACTTTTTGAGCTTGGACACAATATTCTTTCGGTGGAAACCCTGATCTATCGCATTCCTTTTTTAAATATTTGTATTGTCAAATCATAAACTTTTACCTATGGCTCTACTGGTAAGTATTTCATGCTCGGATGGGCCCAGTTCTCTACGTAGATGGTTTGTCGGAATGCGTCCAGCAGCCGCTGCTTTTTGCCTGAAATCAACCTTATTCAAACATTGGCATGTGTGAGGCAATCTTTCTAAACTCACAATCTGATTAATGGATTAAGAAAACGAATTGTTGTATTCACTCGAGCGACTAGTAACAACATTTTGTAGGAGGCGTAACTGTAATAACAACATTATTTCTTTTGTTATTGATTTGGTAATATAGCTTGAGTTTCTTTTTATATATATTGTTTATAGTTTATATATATAGTATATATATAGTATATAGTTTATACCTTGAGTAGGCTGCATTTATAAATGTACTAAAGTATTATATTTACATGAATATAATTATTGTATTTTGTTGCACTTACCGTCAGAGGTAAAAAACCAGCTGATGATTGAAGCTTCTTCGAGCTAACTGCCGTCACCATGACTGAAGTGTCACCCATTTGTGCGACAGCAGTTCCATCAGCAAATTTTGCCAGTCGACCCGTTTTGAATATCAGTCTTTGGCTGCAATAAAAAAGTTCGACCTTCTTGAGAATATTACCCTAGGTTTATATAATGAAAGATTCAAGGTTTGGGTGACATCATTAGCATATAATGTCACGTATATTTTTTTAACAAATAGAATGTGTGTGTTGTATCGCGTCTAACCGATACATTATTACAAAAAATAAGTTCTACAAGTTCCAGTTCATTCAAATCATTTAAATTTTATAATAATACCGCCAGGAAGAGTATAACTAGAAGTACAACAAACTACGATCATTACGGAGCCACTTTATTCACTTTTATGCATTAACTGTAAAATAAGGTACTATACGAGTACATAAATAAACAGCACACCTTTTCTCGAGCAGTTTTCTAAAGTGAACCGAATGAATAGGCAGTAGCAAACTATTAACGTAAGACGTTAATATGGACCAAGTAAATAGAGTTTAAAGGAACAAGGTGCTTATGGAGTTACACGACTCTACACCATATTACGTTTTTAAATATTTTTTTTTGTTTTGTTGTATAAACATAGAGTGATATTTTCCACATGCTAAGAATCAATCGGAAAACGTTATTTCAGGAACGTCAACAATCAATTGTTTTCATTCAATCAACAATTTTTACCCAAAGTTATCTCTGAATATGCTGGATGCTAAAGAAATGTTCAGTATCTTGTTTTATTTTGCATGGTCGTATGAACTTAAAATAATTTGAATTCAATTTAAACTCTGTTCTAAGAAAGGTTCTAAAGCTCTTAAAGTTTATAAGATACTGAATAAATGTGACTACATTGTTGAATACGTACATTGTGAGGCGAACACGGCTCAAAGGCAGCATGACCATACAATTTTGGATGTCTATTAATTAACTTGCAAGTGTGTTCTTAATTACTTGAAATCGTTAAAACATATGCAGAGTGCAGCAATAGTTTAATATTTTTACTACATACTAGTATATTTTCCACTATGCAACTAACTAATTGTTTTATTTATAAGGTTTGAAACCTATCTTGCGTTCGTATTGGGTTCTGTCTAAGATATGTATCTATTTTTTCAAACATACAAATGTACAGAGTATGTTTCTGAAGTATACTCACTCATTAGAGCAATCAATTGTAATGACTTGTTCCTCGCCAGCAATAGACAATTGTCGTAGATAAGATTTCAGTGACGTAAACCCTGTCGGTAAACGTCGACAGTCTGTCAAAGAAATTCTGAAGAACCTCTGTACCGCGTACATGGTAATAAGATATCAGTAACTGTTGTTTTCTGACTTACACTTAAATTTCACCTTATTGAAACACTTAAAAGCAACAGTGAGAATATAGCCTTTAGAACGACGACTATTTCTCACGTGTGCCAAACGGTCTTTTAGCACCCGCGGTAGATCCAATGCTTCAACAAATCGCGCATTCTATTGACAAACAATGCGCGCCTAGCAGACGACGAAAATCAAAATTGACTGCCAGGTTTTCAGCCATATGCTAATATCAAATTAGGCATAATTTCGGTAATAGTTAGACAGCGTTTCAATAAAATAACATCTAAATTAAAGCCTTTTTTTTGTTATTATATAACATGTATGTACCGGCCAATTTACTATGTTATACAAACAAATACTACTAGTGACAGACGGTCGCAAGATTTGAAAGAAAGAAGAAGAAGACTTGAATACAGTTGTGTGTTGAGTAATTTACCCTAGTTGGGAGACAATTCTAGCTTATTAATAGTTTCGAATTTCAATAGGCGGAGCAGCTCAACGTGATTCACTGTTTCGTAACAACTATTTGAAACAATTTTTCATATCAAATCCTCTTAGTGATGTTTTGCCGGAATACGCATCCAAATTAGGAAAGCTTTTTAGATCATTCCAGCTTCTAAATGAAATACAGATTACGAATGCAACATGGTAATATTATTGAATGGTCTTCTGATAATTGTTGAATAACCCGTAGTATTTTCCGGCCTTATTTTAAAACTGGGAAACAGGTACCTATCCGCAAACATTGCTTACCGCGCCAGATAAAGAAAGAAGTTCCTGTCATTAAGATTTGTCTAATGAAAGAGGCTGAATGCCATATCTAAAAAACTCTGGGATAGCCGCCTCACCTCGTCCACAGATTTACGAAGAAACATTTTCCTTGTCCTATCAATGATATTGTTTATGTTTAGTCTATCTGAAACAGTGATTAACCGTAGAATCGCACCCAAAGCTTGAAACATTTATACCGGGCTTTTCGTCAACAAGGTTTTATTCTTCCACGTTCGAACCTTGTATATTAAACAAGGCGCCCTTAGATATTTTTCTAAATGCATACTGTAAGAACTAAACAAGGATTATGTGCGTCATTTGCAAGACTAATATTTGCACGGCGTCGAAGAATGACATACAAAAAGTATTAAGTGTGCAACATTTCAATCGTCTTAAATAGAATAACACATATGGTAAAATGTATGGTCTGTGCCACTGGACCGAGGGCTATTATTAAAAATATTCATTACGCCCTCCAGCTTGTAGGCTGATTAAAAATTTGCGCATACAATATTTATTTCTTCCGTAATTTCTGCTGAAATGACATATTCACAAAACAATACGTTGCGGATTCCTTATGGTAGCCGATTGACAATCAGTGGCCTCTGCATCTTTTATGCGCGATGTGTTGCCACGACCGTTGAATATAAGCGGCCTATAAGTACGAAAACTTGTTGACGTGCTTCGAGGGCGTGCTTAATATCACTAAGACATCTCGAGTTGCCCTTCGTTCAAATTTTATCGCTTACGTTTCTGTAAGGGTCATCTTTAAACCAACTCTATGATCGCTGTATCCACCCTAAAGGTTTTTTTCATCTGAAACCCGCTATTTCCGTAGGTGGCTAAATCGTCTGCACATAGGCGCATTTTTTCACGATCTTTCGTTATGCAAACTTATTTTCTACCAATTAGAATAATCTCGTCTTACCATTTGCAATTATAAAAACAATCTCCTGCGTTTTTCAAAAAAGCACTTTGTGCTGTGTATGTACACCTACCGTTGAGTGGACAAGTTATTAAGGACTCATGAAAGCAAAGTCATTCTTAGCTATCGTAACAGTTGTAAGCCTATAAGCCGTAACAGCCTGATAACGTACTGCTTGATATAGTACGCTTTTTGGACATTTAGATTTCCTTATTGGAACCACTGTGACAAAACTATCTGTGTTTAGGCAAAAAACAACAACGTGTTCATCGGGATTATAATTAACCGATACAGTTAATCGGAATGGGGCACTGTTGCTATTTTGCCCCACTTCATGCTGAAATAATATTTTGACTAACATATTAATTATCTTTGTTTTCGAAAATTTACATCTGGTTACAGGTAAGCCATTTGGTTGGGTAGATTTATTTTATTTACTTCGTAAATGAGCTCACATTTACGTTAAAGTTAACCTTTCCTTTTAACGATTTCACATAATTTCATCATTATTTATATAATACAGCCTTGCAGAGAACTGTAATACTGCTAACTATTTAATATCATGCAAATTATTACGACTGTCTTCTCTTTGTTGTTGTGACTTGAGGACATTTTTATAATGGCACTGATGTTACAACAATGCATAGAAATTCAAATTATACTTTCTATAAATTTAACAATTTAATTTTAATTTGATTAGATTTCGCCGTCTAGCTGCTACACTTTCATCACTTTTACGTGCAGCTCGCTAGACAATTTCAGGATAAACTATATTTATCTTTTTCAGTATTTAGCTATACGTTTTTGTTTTAAGCTTAGATTAAACTTGTCCTCTATGAATACATTTCATAGAACCGAATGTGCGGCAAATATTTTTTTCTTTCAATTTGTGCGTTGAATTATTCCGAGTTTTCCTCTGATAGGGCATATGTAGCACTTCATTTCCCTATGTAATTTCAGGGACTGTAATACTGCCTAAATGTCAGATTAGTATTTATAGACTTGACAAGGAGCTTACTAAATAATTATTAGATGACGGATAGATAAGTACGAAAATCGACATAGTCTTACATTATATCCATGATGTACATCGGATTTAAAAGTACGCACAAATGCGTTTATCTGGAATTTGGCCCACAGATTGAAAATATTCTGAAAAAAATGTATGTAATATATTTAACTATTCTTAAAAAGCTAAGAAACCGACTGACGTTTTGCGATTTTGAAGCCAACTAGTACTGCAATATTTTCCCGGAGATGTATATTAGGTAATTGCCTATTCAGAAAATGAACGAGAGAGATTATTAAAGGGCTTTTAGAGGCCGGCAGGCTTTGATTAAAGTTGCATCAGTCGTTTTTTTACGAAGATTTTGAAGGAAGCTTTAACCTTTTTAAAGTCCTTTAGCATTTTGGTCTTTCAAACAAATATGGAATATTTTAGCTCATCTTGTTTTTTTGATATACTTCCGTTACTTATTTATCTATATAAAGAAAAAGTAAAGAAAAAAATACTGGGAGAAAGCTTACATTTAAAATTGCCAAACCACGGTTAGATTCACAAAAGCTTCAACACACTGTACTCCAAAGAAACGAAGTGTTTGAAGTGTGATGCCGGCAGTTAGATAAGGAACTCACGTATAGACCTATATCATGCTAGGCTTACCTTTTTTTCGTCAAAAGATTTCAAATGATCTTGGAATGACGGACTTTAAGAGCATCTAAAATATTTTTTTTGACGAATTGGCTGTGCGGTGGTAAGTTCTATAATAAAAGGAGCCACCGGTATCGCATCAGTTCTGTTTCTCATGCTTCCCATAATTATGTCGAACCCATAAATAGAACAGTAAGTAACCATCTGAATGCTCTGCTGCGATCTGCGGGTTGAAAGGGCGCCATCGAATTTGGGCCTCCAATAAATCCAATAAATTACGACACGTATGTGACGTCAATACCCAACACTTCTATTTGTCTCATGCAGAGATAATAAATTTAAGCTTTTGCTAGAGGTTTCAGACACAGCAAGTGTTGGACAATGTTATATGTAAGGTGTACATACCTGTCAATATACGTTATTAAAATGTATTACAAATATAATTGATAAACTCTGTTTGTGCTACGACGGTAAGGCTGGTAACGCTGCGGTGTCATAAATCTGCAACTCCGATTTTTCCCGGCTGTCGAGATAAATTTGTTTTTTTTTTAAAGTTATTGTTATAGTTTTTGAAGTTTGATTTAAATATGTATATAGTGCTGTAGGTGTTCATGGTAGGCTTATTCGATTAAATAGAGGCAAAAGAAAATTTCCTTTGAAATAACTTTATTTTCATGTCAGGTTACAGCGCAGTGACACTTCACTCGCGTAAGTATCATTACGCTTTCTGCTTGCAGTATATTCATAATTGGTTTATACCATACCACTGGCAGTAAGTACTGCACATTATGGGGTATTGGTGCTAAAAGGTTTCAGCCGATACAAAAAATAGGCAGGTTTCAAGCTTCCTACTTACAACTTTATTCGAGGATATGCGGCTATGAGCTTCTGCTAAGTTTTTTCGTAGCCGAAGTTATTTCTGTTAACAACTTTAATTCTTTAGGCTCTCGAATTTGTCCTTTAAGCACTAGAAACCTATAGTTACCCGTTTTATTCTGTTTGATCCAAAATCACCTTTATTGCACCAAAGGGGGAAAACTGAGTGAAGCTGTTCAACAGAAAGAACCTAGTAGACAAAATAGAGTCCTTCTTAATGACAACGTTAGGCCATACATGGGAAGGTTCGTTGAAGCTCTAATGGAAGAGTCTGAGTGAAAGGTTTTTTGTTACCTTCACATTCTCCAGACCTCGTGCCAGTTACTACCTTAGCCGACTAGTACCTGGAATGGTACGACGACTCGTACCATTGCACTTGAAATGTACAGGGGTCTGAAAAATGAAGTGGGCAACATCAGATTTGGAGAATGATGACGAAGAAAAATTAATTGCTCGAGAGGTACGAACGTCGAAAATTACGGCAACTTCAAAATATATTGTTTCGCGTGAGTTCAGGTGAATCATTGCATGTTTCGTTAAGTGAAAAAACGATATTAAAACTTTTATATTTTACGTCAAGGGAGTTATTGGAAGCTTTAACGATAAAGTATACAACAAATAGCTATTTTGGTGTCTTTCTAGCTACAATTCCTGAGACGTTTTTTTTTCTACCATCAGATCTCCTCATATGTATATGCATATAAATCCAGAAACTATCCAGCGGCTTTTAAATAATTTTCAAACTATAGACCATTAGCGGAAGAAATGTACACTGAGTCTTTGCATGTCATGAAGACAGACAGCTGTTCATGATCGATAGACGGCGAGGGTAGAAGGCAAAATATCATTTAGTGCTTAAAATCAATATTCAGAGA